CCATCCATCCTCCATCCATCCATCCATCCTCCATCCATCCATCCATCCATCCTCCATCCATCCATCCTCCATCCATTCATCCTCCATCCATCCATTCATCCTCCATCCATCCATCCTCCATCCATCCATCCATCCTTCCATCCATCCTCCACCCATCCATCCTCTAACATATATACATCCGTACCTCATCCATCCACCCACCTAGCCATCCAGCCAGGCTTCAGCCAGCCATCTTCTAGCCACCTTCCACCCATCCACCTGTTGTCCACTCACGTCTCCATCTTTCCATCTTCCATCCATGCATCCATTCATCCTCCATCTAGTCAACCCCCATTCATCCACTCCTGCCCCCACCCACCCATTCTTTAGACACCAAAATCTGATGACTAATTATCTGCAGATACGCCCCTGGGGATGTATGTCACAAATGTACCTCCCCAGGTCCCATGGTCAGAGTCAGCAGGTCTGGGTGGGACCCAGGAAACTGCATTTTCAGAAGCCTCTAAACTAAAATCAGACTTGGCTGCTGTGTAGAGTTACCCTTCACTGCCACCCTGCGGAGGAGTGAGGCCCACGGGGTCGCTGTGTTGCCAGCGTGTTCCTGACGGCACCCGTTAATGCCCCTTCCTTCCTTCCTCTCTCACCAGTTCCTTATATTTCCTCATCCCGGAAACATGACAGCATTAAAGATGACTCCGAGGTGAGTGCAAAGCAGCTCGCTACCATTTCTGACGTCCTCTGGAAAGTCTGTGAGCCTGTCTGTGGAACAGCTGTGGAAATCTAGATGTGAAGCAGACTCGGTCCCGAACACCGCTGATCCTCACAGCAGAAGGGGAGGCGTGTCTAGAGGGAAGTCCTTATTCTTGGGTCTTGCTTCAGGCACGTCCTTGATGAATCCCTGGAGGCAGCTGTCCCTGAAGGTGTTCTGGGGACCACACACTGGGGGGAAGCTGTGCCCCTGCACCCTCTTCACCCAGGCGGTGCGGTGGCCCAGGGGCTGGCTTCTGAGCTGTAATTTTTATCAAGCTGTGTCTGCACCACCGCCAAAAGTTGCCTCATTTGGCCACCCTGCAAAAACCTCTGGTGCCCTTTCATGTCCTTCCCCAACTTGAGCCAATGGGCTCAACTTGAGCCTCATATCTGGCCATCTCTGCCCCATAAATCCTGAGAAGGGAACAGAAGCTTGCTGCGCTCTCAGCCTCACCTCATAAAACCCAGGAAAGGGCTGCACCGGCGAAGCATGCCTTTCCAGAGTCCCAGCACATGTCACCCTCACAACTCATGCTCCTGCATGGCCATCCTGTCTAGAGGGAGGCTGGGGCACTTAGAAGCAGAATCCAAGGCCAGGCACGGTGGCTCACGCCTCCAGTCCCGACACTTTGAGAGGCTGGGCCAGGCAGATCGCTTGAGTCAGGGAGTTCAAGAAGAGCCTGGGCAGCATAGCAAAACCCTGTTCCTACAGAAATAAATTAGCTGGGCATGGTGGTGTGGGGCTGTGGTCCCAGTTGCTTGGGAGGTGAGTTGGGAGGACTGCCTGAGCCTGGGAGGCAGAGGCTGCAGTGAGCCGAGATCGCACCCCTGCGCTCCAGTCTGAGCAGCAGAGCAAGACCCTGTCTCAGAAAAAGCAGAACCCATTTTGCTGCACAGAACGGCACCTCCCAGTTAGCGACCTCCTCCACCCCGACATCCTTGCCAAGTATAACGGCGGGAGGCAGAGCCTTCTGTTCTTCCTCGGAGCGCCTTTCTCCTTTCATTTCTAATAGTTTCTAATCACGCGTGCTTGCCGGTCTGGCAGCAGCAGGCATTAGCTGCGTTTGCTTTACCTTCGTTCCCCTGAGCAGGGGCCCTGATGGGGAAGGATGAGCCCAGGCCCTGGGTCGCATGTTCCTGTGGCCACCTGTTCAGCCCAACTGACAGGGCTGAGGGCCCGGGGTCCCTCCCACCTGCACCTGTGACCAGAGCCGTGGTCTGCAGAGACAGCTTTCGGCTTTCTGGTGCCTTCCTCGGAAGCACACAGGCCTAAGTTCTTATCTTTTGAGATCCAGTTTAGACGGGAGTTTGCGGGTGGGATCTGTGGGGCGCAGAGCTGAGACTCGGGTTGTGGGACTCTGAGCTCCGAGGATCAGATCTGTGTTGGGGCCACACGAGCGATGCCTGGTCCTCTGGGTCTCCTGGAGCAACCCCTCACTTTCTGGGGTCTTGTTCTCCCTCCATAGGACCTTAAGCCAGTTATCGATGGGATGGATGGAATCAAAATCTCTCAGGGGCTTGGGCTGCAGGACTTCGACCTAATCAGAGTCATCGGGCGCGGGAGTTACGCCAAGGTTCTCCTGGTGAGGTTGAAGAAGAACGACCAAATTTACGCCATGAAAGTGGTGAAGAAAGAGCTGGTGCATGATGACGAGGTAGGTGCCACTTCTCATGGGGCTTGGGGTCTCAGACACGCTGCCCTGGGGTAGGTGCCATTTCTCATGGGGCTCGGGGTCCCAGACATGCTGCCCTGGGGTAGGTGCCATTTCTCATGGGGCTCGGGGTCCCAGACATGCTGCCCTGGGGTAGGTGCCACTTCTCACGGGGCTCGGGGTCCCGGACACGCCGCCCTGGGGTAGGTGCCACTTCTCACAGGGCACTGGGTCCTGGACACGCTGCCCTGGGGTAGGTGCCACTTCTCATGGGCCACGGGGTCCCAGACACGCTGCCCTGGGGTAGGTGCCACTTCTCATGGGGCATGGGGTCCCAGACACGCCACCTGGAGTAGGTGCCACTTCTTGCGGGCTTAGGGTCCTGTACACGCCACCTGGAGTAGGTGCCACTTCTCATGGGGCACGGGGTTGTAGACACGCCGCCTGGGGTAGGTGCCACTTCTCATGGGGCTCAGGGTCCCGGGATGTGCCACCCTGGGGTAGATGCCACTTCTCACTGGGCAGAGGGTCCTGGGACACGCCACCCTGGGGTAGGTGCTACTTCTCACAGGGCACAGGGTCCCGGGACACGCCACCCTGGGGTAGGTGCCACTTCTCATGGGGTACAGGGTCCTGGGACACACACTGCCCTGGGGCCACCTCCTTGGGAAGAGGACAGTCAAAGGCTGTAATGAACGCTCTGGGCTTTAGCGGAATTAATTTGTGCACGAGAGCCCTGGCCTCATATTGATGCAGTTTGTGGAAAAACAATAGTCATGCGTGCCGAACCCAGGATGTGTTCTGGCAAGTGCCTAGTTAGTTGATTGCACCATAGTGTGGACATCCCAGTGTGTGCTCCACAAACCTGCACAGCGCAGCCAACTCTGTGGTATCTGCGAGTCCGTACGGCGGTCAGCGCACTGCACACCACAGCCACGAGTGGACACACAGAGAGCGTGTGTGTGTCTGAGCTTAGAAAAGGTGAAGGTGGGGGTTCTGGTCTCCAAGGATGTTGTCACCCTTGTTAGGAAATCCCTGGAGTTGAGCTGAACTGGGTGGATGATGGGGTGGGACAGGAAGCAGCCCAGAGGCTCTGCCCCGCTCCGTCCTGCACGAGGCCACAGCTTTTCGGGACACGCTGAGCTGCTGTGGCTCTTTATAGCAGACCTTCCCACGTCAGCTGTTTCTGGGGGAGATGTTCATTGATTATAGGATTTTCCCTTGAAACAGGGTCTCACTCTGTCACCCAGGCTGGAGTGACTTGATCACAGCCCACTGTAGCTTCAGACTCCCCAGCTCAAGTGGTCCTCCCACCTCACCCTCTGGAGTGTTGGGACTACAGGCATGGGTGACTCCCCCAGCTGTATAACTTTTGTATTTTTTGTGGAGGCAGCATCTCACTCTGTTACCCAGGCTGGAGTGCAAAGTGTGATCATGGCTCACCTCCTGCCGGGCTCAGGTGATCCTCCCACCTCTGCCTCCGGGGGAACGAGGACTGCAGGTGTGCACCACCACTCCTGGCTATTTTTTGTGATTTTTTTTTTTTTTTTTTTTTTTGAGACAGAGTCTCACACTGTTGCCCGGGCTGGAGTGCATTGGCATGAACTTGGCTCACTGGAAACTCCACCTCCTAGGTTCAAGCAATTCTCCTGCCTCAGCCTCCCAAGTAGCTGGAACTGCAGGCGCCCACCACCATGCCCAGCTAATTTTTTGTATTTTTAGTAGAGGCAGAGTTTTACTATGTTGGCCAGGCTGGTCTCAAACTCCTGAACTGGCGATCTGCCCACCTTGGCCTTGCAAATTGCTGGGATTACAAGTGTGAGCACCGCACCCAGCCTATTTTTGTGTTTTTTTGTAGAGTTGGGGTTCTGCTCTGTTGCCCAGGCTGGTCTCAAATTCCTGTGCTCATGCACTCTGCTGGCCTCGGCCTCCCAGAGTGCTGGAATTACAGGCATGAGCCACTGCTCCTGGCCTATTCGTTGAAATCTTAATTCTGACTTCATAGACCTTTTTCTTTTAATTATAGTAAAATACACATGACATAGAAATTGCTATTTTAAAATGTATAGTTAAACGCCCGGGCGTAGTGGCGCACACCTGTAATCCCAACACTTGGGGAGGCTGAGATGGGTGGATCACTTGAGGTCAGGAGTTTAAGACCAGCCTGACCAATATGATGAAACCCCAGCTCTACTAAAAACACAAAAATTCACCAGGCGTGGTGGCGCACACTTGTAATTCCAGCTACTCAGAGGCTGAGACAGGAGAATCTCTTCAACCCAGGAGGTGGAGGTTGCAGTGAGCCAAGATCACGCCACTGCACTCCAGCCTGGGCGACAGAGGAGACTCTGTCTTAAAAAAATAAAGAAATCAAATAAAGAAATAAAGTGTGCAGTTAGGCGGCTTTTCAAACATTGCGTATGGTGTTGGGCACCTTTAACCTCGGTCTGAGTCCAGAACATTTTCCTTTTTTTTTTTTACAAGA